GAACTCATAGATATAGAGAGTGCATTAGTGATTGCCAGAGAGAGAGGCAGGAGATGGGAGTTAGTGAAATGGGTAAAGGTGGTCAAAAGGTACAAACTTTCAGTTATAAAATAAGTTCTGGGGAGGTAAAGTACATCCTGGTGCCTAGGGTGAGTAATACTGTACGTCTATTTGAAAGTTGCCAAGAGAGTAAGTTTTAAACGTTCTCATCACACGAAATAGGGAATTGTAACTATGCACGGTGATGGATGTGAACCAGCCTTACGATGATGATCATCTTGCAATATGTGCAAAATATACAAATATCAAATCCTTATGTTGTACATCTGAAACTAATATAATGTTATATGTCAATTATATCTCGATTTTTTAAGGCCCATATTTTAAATGCTCTAGTGGGACTCTCATAGAACTCTAAAATAAATCTAAAATGTAACATGAATAAGTTATATGGGCCTGTCCACACTGGAAATCACTTTCAACAGCTATATAAATAGGTGGCATAAACGGAATTTATTAACAGAAAATTTGGGATATTCTAGCTCCAATAATCCATATTTATATTTCTCAGTTTACCTAAATTTGGTCAGTCTTGCCATATATTTATTGATTCTCCCCTTTTTCTATTACTGCGTTCCTTTGTCCCCACGATTTTAAGATAATTGATGTTTTCTCAGACTTATGTCCTATTATCACATTACATCTCTCCTCTCCACACCAGATCCAGTCACCTTAAGTAAACTTGTTTCTCCAGCATTCCCAGATATGGATTACATCATTTATATATCTTTTATATGTGCATCATTTATATATCACTGATGCATCCTCCAGACTTCATGAGAGTCTTCCTCAGGGCTACTAATTTCACTTCTTCCTGCCTCCTAGGGGACCATAGCCATAATCCAGTCCCCTCTCTCCAGAAGCCTCTGTTTTCCTGTCATCCTATCATCCTATTCTCTCTTGTACCCTAAAACCCAAACCCCTCTACTGACCCAGGATTCTCCTTCTCTTTTTTCCTTTCAAAGGGTAGCCTCTCTCGTTGTCTTTGTTCTTCACCACTACAGCTCAACGTGCTGTATAAAAGTTTCTGTCCCCATACACTCAAGATATTAGTTTAAAGTTGCTTAAACCCCTTAACTGACAAATTCAAGTTTCATGAATCCTTATTTTGCTTGACCCCTTGGTAGAACTTAATGTCTTGGACCTTTCCTTCCTTGTTGGAATTCTTTCATCCCATGTTCCCACCACATCTGCTCCACAAATGCACCCTCTACCACCCTCATCCCTTTTCTGTGAGATCCTATTTAATTAATTAATTAACTAATTGCATGTCCTCTCAGTTTACGATTAAATATTGCTCTTCAGAGCTCTATCACTGGTCCTGTTTTCAAGCTACAAAATTTCTCTGGGAAAACCAGTCAGTTCCTATGGTTTTGGTCACCACCTCCTCTATGATGATGCCCACGTGTAAATCTTAGCCCTAAATGATCTATTGAACTCCAGATCTTATCTCTGCTTGTCCCCTGGGTATCTTCTCCACCTACGTGTTACTAAGCCTTCTAAAATCTATTAGATCACTTCTGGGTTCCTTTCTTTGCACTGACTGCATTTTACGTGCACGATGGAAAATTAACTGAATATTTGGTAGCCAGAAGGGCAGATTATGGTACTCTTACAATGCTGCTTATTTCTGTTCCTCCTCTTTCTGGATCCCTGGTGGAACTGTATACTTGCTACTTAGAAGTTAGGTGTGCCATATGACTTTAGTTGGCCAGTGAAACATATTGGAGGTGATGTGTGTCACTTTTAGGCAGAAACCTCTAAAACTGGCACACGCATAATTTTACTCCCTTCCTCCTGTTATGACAAGTGGCAACACTGCAGAGGAAAGAGGCTCCATCAGCTTGTGTCCTTATGTGAAGGTGGTGGGAAGCAGATCTCCCACCAACCAAAAATGGACCTACGACCTGACTGAGAAATGAACTTCTATTAAGTTAGTCGAGCCTATGAGATTTTGGAGTTGCCACAGAGCCCAGCCCAACCTGATTCAAGATCCCAAACCAAATTCATTAATTTTTCCCTGTACTTTATTAACAGATAAAATAGCATTAAAGCATCCGGCCTGCCTCTTCTCCTGTGTCCCAGCTTTGTTTGTCTTTGAGCCACCACCATCTCTATCCACTTAACCAGGCTAGAAAACCTAGGAGCGCGTCTGGCCTCCACTTTCATGTCCACCCACATTTTATGATTTGTCTAGTTCTGTAGACTGTATTTCCTAAGTATCCCTCAAATACATTCTTTCACGTATGTCCTTAATAAACATCTTCTGATTATGTGTTGCCTCAACCATTGCAGTGATTTTGTGAATGATCTTCTTGTCTCTATTATCAGTCTTCCCTAAATCCATCTTCCATATGGCTTCCAGAGTAATTTTCAAATGCGAACGTTGACCATTCCACTCTCCTGGCACTTACAGAATAAAGCTGAAATGCTTCATCGTGGACGACTAGGCTCTTAATAGCCTGTCCTTTCTATCCCTTCAGCCACAGCTCTGCTCTAGCGAGACCTAACCCTGAATCACTGTTCTTTCTCCTCCCATTCCTCTCCCCCTACCCCTCACATACGCTATACTATTTTCTGACTGATTCTTGTAGAAATTCCAATTTAGGTCTCGTTTACTCACAGAAGTTTTTCATAGTTGTCCCAAACAGACATATCTATTTCTTCCCTCATGCTACTTCTCTTGAGTAAAATGTGCTTTCCACTTATCTGGAAAGCACAGTCCTTAGTATATTATAGGTGCCTCACAAAATGTTTATAGACTGAAATGATAGGCCATTTGATCAGATAGTTCAACATCTGTTAAAGGCGTGTGTGTGTGTGTGTGTGTGTGCGTGTGACACTATTGAAGACATCTCCAATCCACCCCCTTCCTCCTCCCAGGTACTGCTCCCCCCAGTTTAAAATTTGTGGATGACTTACTAGAAGTTAGGCACTGTGGCGAGCATTCTGTAAGTGTTATCTTATTTTGCCTAACAATAATTCTAGGACAGAGTGGTGTGGCACACTGGTGGCTGCAAGAGGCACACTGATGTGCCAGAAGAATTTTTAAAACCTGCAGTACCTGACTATTCAGTCAGGGGCACTGACCTCTTTCCCCTTGGACTGTCAAATTAAAAAATGACAACAGCCATTCACACCTAGGCATGTGTGAATGAATCAAAGTTATGCCTATTTTTGTCACATCAGCAAAAAATATATTTTTGGGTCTGCTGCAGAGTTTTAGTAACTACTTGATATGTGTCATGAGCTGAAAAGGGTTGAAAGTCACTGTTCTGGGGCATTGAGCCACACATTAAGTACCCATCGTTACTGATTTGCATTATAGGAAGCAAACCTGTCTCACCTTCCTGATGGGCTGTCCTTATAGACCCTTAGGTATTAATTCAATGGAATGTTTTCCTATGCAGTAACTGACTGAGTAGCCGAAACACTATAGCTTACATTCAAGTTTTTTTTTTTAATTTTTAAAGATTTTATTTATTTATCTTTAGAGGAGAAGGGAAGGAAATAGAGAGAAATATCAGTGTATGGCTGTCTGTCATGTGTCTGCTGCTGGGAACTGGCCTGCAACCTAGGCATGTACCCTGATTGGGAATCAAACCGGGATACTTTGGTTCGCAGGCTAATCCATTGAGCTACACCAGCCAGGGCTCAAGTTGTTTTTTTTTTTTTTTTTTTTAATCTACAACTTTTAAGGGGAAGTCAGCACTGTTATTGAAAACATTTTGAAAAAGTATGGCATTTATACATCATCTTTCTTTTGAAGTATAACACTTTTTTTTTTACCATGTTTAATGGACCTCTGTATATAAGGGAGGGGTAATTTTCTTTTTTTAATAACAAGTTTATTTCAGCAGGAAGTTTTGATAATTCAAAGTTTTAGGAACTCAATACAAATATAAAGTACACTTTGAAATTTATAAAACCTCGAAATACATAGAGCGCAATTAATATAACTTCATGAGAACTGGACGTGTGCGATATTGAAATGAAATATGTGAACATGCAGTGAGGGTTAATTTAAACAAGAGAAACCGGGCAGGGAAGCTGACTAACTTGTTCCATATCATAGTTTTCCAAGGGTTTATTATCATTCTACACATACTACACCCCCCAAAATAAATTTCTAATTATCATTGAGTGACAAAATGCCAGCTAGTGACAGAATTGCTTCCGGGGACTAATGAGTTGTTGGGGGAAATCACATTATATTATGAGAAGGTAATAAATCGCATGACTCTAGTCTCTGGCCCTCTGGGCTGGAACATTCAAGGTTTTACAGTTCATCTCTTCTAAATTCTTTTATTACCTTCAAATAATGATAGGCAGATATATGAACCAAGCCTGTTAATGCATTTAAAAGAATAACCTATGTTCCTTTCGTAAGGAGTCCATTCATTCACCCATCTTGTACTGTGCCAGAAAGAGGAATTAAGGCCATTCCTTTAATTTTTTCCAGCATCCCATCTTTTAGAATATGGGGAGCAGAACCAGTTTCATTTCCCATAGGCCAAAAAGCCCTGAAACTTGGGGGAGTCAAGCAATTACCAGCCACTTAGTCTTTTTGCAGAAATACACAAAACGTGTAGAATCGCTTAATTTTATCCCCTCCTAACCTCTTCTCTTGGAAATTGGCTGCTCGGGCAAATGTTGTTTTTTTCCCCCCGGGAGCCAAGTGTGAAGATCGATTAGCACTTGCTCCACAAACCCCTTCCAGGGCCATTTGGGAGCTGCACGCGTTCACACTCGGGTTCGGTTCTTTGCGCCTTCACGCGCAGCCTTTTTGTTTTCGGGGCCAGCAGGGCAGAGAAGGGCGGAGAGGAAGCGAATCTCTCCCTGTACAACAAGCTGCTGAGGCTATATAAACTCAGGGCTCGAGCCAGGTTTCTGAAACGGGTTGGTTTGCCTGCGAGTTGTCTGCCGAGCCCTGCGGCGCCATGGAGACTGCAGAGCGCTCCGCGAGCGGAGCTGGCGAGTACGCGCGCGGTGGCCGCCCGCTGCCCGGGGCCCCCGACTGCCCGACGCGGCTCGCCGGCGCAGACTCCGGGTACAGCGTCTCTGCACCGCCCTGCACCTCCCCTACCCCAACCCTCTCGCCCTCGCTTCCCCAGCTCCTCCTCTCCGCCCTCCACCCTCCACCCCCGCCCCAAACTCCCTCGGGCCCGCACTCGGCTGCCGTTGGTTCTGCAGAGTCTGGGCTCACGTCTTGTCTGTGCGCCTTTCCTCTTCACCCTGCAGATCCGCAGGCTTCTGGAGACCTTGGGTTGATGCCCGAGGCGAGCAGGAGGAGGCCTCTCACCAAGCAGAGAAGAGGGTGAGTGAGCTGCGCGTGGCTAGCCGCTCCTCCGAGGGACGCAGGTCGTTCACCAGAACTGGGAACACCCGGCCCGAGGGAGACGCGCGCGCCCGGTACGCCAGTTGCTTAAGATCACGCCTGTCGGTCCTCCTGCCGGTGGCCCTGTTGGTGCTGAAGAGGCGAGTGTGCTCTCCAGAACTATTGCGACACGAGGGTCGGACCCAGAGCGAGGCTGCGAACACTAGGGTCACATTCGCTGCAGGCGCGAGGAACCCTGGGTCTTGCGCGTTTCCAGTTTCTCAGAAAAGGTGCTTGTTAACTGTAATTCATCTCCTTACATCCCCAGATGCCCAATGGCCCCGGAATGACCGAAGCCTCTGGAAAGCTTTCCCGATACAAGCACCCAGTCAGGTGAGTAACAGGCCAAACCGAAGGTTTCTTGCTTCTCCAACCCCTGGGAACTTAGCATAGCCCGGTTCAGCAGCCGGTCCTGCAGTTTTTGCATTGGAAAATCTCTCTTCAAGGTTACTTTATCTTCCCAGTCCCAGAGGTCCTTTATTCATCGAATTGAAAAATGTAGCAGCTCAAGCTCTTACCTAGAAAAGTTGTTAATTAGTGCATACCCAGTAAAAGCTCAAGGAATATAGTAAAAAGAGGGAAACTGGATGATACATTAAAAAAAAAAAAAACTTTTGCAGGCACAAGATGTCAACGTTCAACTTTTACTGTTGAACGTTGACATCTTGTGCCTGCAAAACAGTTTTTTTTTTAATGCCAGGAAGTCCAGATGAAATTGACTTCACACATTATTCCTTTGCAAACCAGAAGGAAGAATGGTGTTCACAGTTGTAATTTTAGAGCAAATTGAGCTTGCCACGTGAGAGAAAATGGAAAGGTGATGAAAATTCTAAAGTTACTAAGGATTATAAAAATGAACACAAGTTGTTTGGCATATCAGTGAGGAGCTAGTTTCTTGTTCTAGTCAAGGAAGTCGGCCTTTTCGTAGGATTCTTGGTAGCTTTTATATAGGCAAGAGGATGACGTTACAGTTTGCCTGGTTGAGGGAGCTGTTAGGTGAAGAGCTGATGTTTGTAAAATGTGCGTGTTTCCAAATAGCATTTTGATTAATTTCTCACCATGAGCTAGCACTAGTGAAGGACACAGGAAAAACATAATCCCAGCCCTGTGGGTAGTGTTGTAATAGAATTTAATTTGGTCAGTTTTAGACTCCAGAGCATGAAGTGCCTGTCAGAGGGAGTGAGAGCCAGGAAATTGTGTATTAATAAGCTGTGGCCTTGAAGTTAGCCAAATGGATGGTAGGTGGGGAAGCAGGGGCAGAAGAAATAGCACAGGGAAAGAAAGAACAGGGTCGTGGAACAGCATGGATCTTCTGGGAGCATCAAGTTGCTGGAATTATGGTGTGTGAAGCTGTGGACATCATTCCAGCAGGGAAGCCAGAACCCAGATCTCACATACCTTGGTGCAGAGTTTTGTCCTGATCCTGTAGGTAGTATTGGGGATTACTCAAAGGATTTTTAACCAGAGAGTGCTGTGGTCAGATTTATGTTTCAGAAAAAATCACTAAGGAAATAGTATATAGTTATAGTTAGAATACCAAAAGTGACATGGGAAGTTATTGCCGTTGTTCAGGCCAGAATGATAGAGCCATTCTAAGGCATTGGAAGTAGGGATAGAACTGGGTAAATTTGGGAAATATGTAGGTGACAAAATAGATTAGGCTTATTAACATATGGGATATGGTAGGTGAAGTAGAGGTAAAAAGACAGAATGGTCTCCAAGTTTATGACTGATGCAGGTTGAGTGCTGTACTGACAGATTGGAAATTAAGGCTAAATACAGATGTGGGAACAAGATAATGAGTCCAATTTTCCATTTATGGTATTTGATGTGCCTGTGAGGCATCCAAGTAGCAATGATCATCAGAGAACTGCACATGTAAACCAGGGGCTCATCATCAGGTTATAAAGCAGAAATGCAAACTTGGGAGCTTTGATAAATGAACACTCGGGGACATCATGGCAATGGGTCAAGTCGTCCTGTGGACTCAGAGAGATGACCACTTGTGATCAAACCATAGGGGAAGGCCAACCTCTAACCTATATTCAGAGAAAGAAGGTCCACAAAGGAGACAGAGCAGAATCACTCAGAACAGGGCAAATTTAGGAGCAGACTGAGTCCCTGGAAGAAAAATAGTCAGTGAGAAATTCTGGGGAGAATATGATAGCAATTAAACAACATTCTTTGGATTTGGCAGTTTCAGTAACACATTAAAAAGTCAATTGTTTTATATATCAGCAATTCTTTCCTTTTCTGAATCACTGTAGCATTGTGTTTTTACTTCTTTTAAGTGACTTTTCTTAATTTCTGTCTTTAGTAGTATTGTGTGTTTCTGATTCTTTTTACTCAACTGTCAACTTCTTGAGGGTAGGGACCATGAGTTATTCATCTTTGAATTATGAATTATGTCTAGCACAAGAAAGCACTAAGATATTTATTGATTGACTGAATTATTGATGGTTAATAATCTCACACCAAAATTATAAACTATTTTTTACCACTTTGCTAAAAAATTATAAATTACATTGCCTTTTAAAATGAAGCCTGCTGAAGATAATGTCCCATCTCTCTGTGCACGGGGCTATTTACATGGAAATGACTACACTGTAGTTGGGGATTCAGCCTTATCCCTTTTCTTCTCCTCGGATGAAAAAAAATAGAAGACCAGATGGCAAGTTCAATATTTTTCAGAAATTTGAAATTCTGAGGTAAACCTGTTTACATGTGAATTATTTTTAAGAAACCAGTGTCATTCTCCATATCTCAATATGGTGTCCCCAAATTAAGTTGGGTGGGGGGAGGGGAGGGAGACCGAGGCAGGGTTGGGCTAGAGGTGCCTTTCTGAACCTCGGGCTCTGAGTGCATAGATAAACTTATTAAAATGTTGCCTTTTGTACTTTCCTAAACCTATATTGGCTACATCTGCAACTAAGAGTTAAATGTGTGAATTTTAAGCAGGATACTAGGTGATTTTTGCCTTCGTGTAAGGACATGATATTTTGATGTTTTAACGAAGTTGGCTATCATCAAAATTTTTAATGCAGTGGTAGGACTCATTTTCTCCCTATGAAATTTGGAAATTGGAAGACAAGCCTTCTGTTTAGTTTTTAAAGAATAAATATATTTATTGTATAACAACTCCAGTAAGCTAAATAATTATCTTAGGCTTACAGCTTGGAAAAAGATTTAAAATAATTGACCTATTATTGATACTTTGGCAAGTAGATTCCTTGAGAGCTGTAATAATACCATTTTAAAACTTTACCTTAAAGCCCTGTCTAAATGCATAAATCAATTGTTAGATACATGGAGCTCTTGGAATTTTCACATTTAGTGAGTATAACTATTCTAAATATGAAAAAGATAAAGTGTATTATTTTGTCTGCTTTTTTCAGACTATTTTGGCCAAAATCAAAGTGTTATGATTACTTATATCAAGAAGCAGAAGCTCTTCTGAAAAATTTTCCAATTCAAGCCACAATTTCGTTTTATGAAGATTCTGATAGTGAAGATGAAATTGAGGAACTGATTTGTGAAAATTAATCTGATTAGTTATTTTTGATGACATTAAAAGCTTTTAGGATTTAAATTTAGTGTGCAAATGTATCATAATTCTTTAAACTTATTTATTTGTATATAAATTATTAATAAAATGAATATTTTGTAATTATTATGGTAGTTGGGCCTTTTTTTATCCCTACACTATTAGTCAATGCTGGAATTTAAAAATAGGTACCATTTACAAATGTCTTGATTGTACCATAAACATTTGGAGCTTACAAAAAACAATTTTAATCCTTTAATCAAATTACAACTTGAGTTATAATTTTGCAAACATTTAGTTACAACTTTGCATAGAATGACAATATTTTCAAACTGAATCTTGCAACATCTTTATTTCCTATATATTTCCACTGGATAGTGTAGTTACAGATGAATGTTCTTAGGTAAGGAAGAAAATTACCTTATGTTACTATACACCTTGTTATTATGTCTTTGCTAGAAGATGGTGAGAAGCACTTTAAATCATTGTCTATAATTGAGGATGGGAATAATTATTAGGGCTATTAAATTTTAGACATTGTTAATGAATGATGAGTTAAGTAGTTCTCTCTTTAATACTCTTCTGCTGTCTGTAAGTCTGCTAGTAAAATAGCATGGGTGGTCAGTATTTATGGAAGTACATTAAGGAGTCTCTAAAATTAAAACAAAATGTTTAAATGCGTATGATTTAAATTGAGTTTAGAAAGGGGCAGCCACAAGGCCAGAATTTGATAGTATTTTTTCCACTTTCTGTCCAAGGGGGAGCTAAGAAATTTGTCAGATGTGAAACATTCAACAATATCACCTTGCTTTGCTCTGGTTCCCTGTTCCTGATATTCTCATGTAAACATTTTCTTATGGGAAGTGGAATAAGAATTCTCGTGATTAGTTCTTTAAAGTAGATTTATAGAAAACTGAATCTTCTAATGGGAGAGAAAACAGGAGCACTTTGCAAGGTAAAGGTAACATAGTACATTATGGTAGTGAAGTTCTTTCAGCTGAAATACATTTTTTCACAATAAGCATTTCAATAGCAAATAAAGAATGTTCCTATAATATTCTAGAATGATAATGCACATAGGTGAAAATCATTGATGGTTACCTATCTAAGAAATGCCTTTTACTTGAATGTATACTTGTATACCCACACTTTTTCTTCTAATTGAAAAGATACAACAGACATTAATTTACAGACACTTTAAGGAAAAGGAAATTGAAATAGGGCAAGTTCAAACCATGTTTCAGACTCAGGAAAAGTTAGTAATGGAATGAGACTAGGGAAGAGTTATATAGAACTACATTTCTGCTGAATACTTTCTCCCTTCACTGCCTTCTATTCTCAGGATGTGTACATTCCCTAAGGAAAAACTCACCAGGTCCCTAGTCTGGACCTTCAGCATTAAAGACTGTTTACCTGCACAGTATTTGTGCTTCTAATTGATATGTTGGAATAGAATGAAGAACCACTGCCATTTATTGCATGCCTGACATTAACCAGGCAGTGGATTCTGTAGTTTATATATGACATAATTCTTTCTAAAACCGAAATGAACTATGCAGATAGAAAAATGAGGCTTTGAGATACTAAAGTACTCTTAATTACCGCAGTTCTTGGTGGGCTGCATCACTATACAATTTCCTGTATCTCTCAGGGAAAATAGGAAATTAGATGAGGAGGAAGAACTTGTGAGCAGATGAATGGAGCAGAAAAAGACTTTGACTCGTAATGTCAGTCATTAGTAAGGGTTCTTAATGATGACGTTTTCTCTTCACCCTACAGAAGTGGCTGTTTGCATTTGACACTATGGCTTTTAAATTTTCTCTGTCCCTTACAGCCTGGTGTCTTGAGAGAGTGTCAGAGAAATCAAACTTCTCTAATAGTATTATTTTATTCCATATTTTTAGTTGTGGTAATACTGACACTTGTGGTTTAACAGGACTGTACAAGAATTTATTCTCAGATTCGGTCAGCACCAAGGCTAAGGAACAGCTTCATTCTCTCTAATCTTTCCGAGGAATAGCTGTCACCTCCTTGCGGTGCTGAAGTTCAGTGCGCAGAATTTACGGAGCATGCGTACTTTCCCCTGGTTCCGCCTCTTCTCCCTTTGTCGTCTCACTGTCCATTTCATTGGCCCCGCCCTCCGCGGGCTCAACGTGCTGCGTCACGGCGCGCATCACCCCGGGCGACCCCGGAAGTGAGCCGGGGGCTTGGCCGCACCCCGGCCTCGGAGCCGGAGCCGGAGGTGGAACTGAAGAGCCGTCCTGTCGAACGGCCGCCCTCCGGCGGTGGACCCCGGGCAGGGTCCGAGCCAGGTGTCCACGATGCTGAACGTCCCTTCCCAGTCTTTTCCGGCCCCCAGCTCGCAGCAGCGCGCCGCCTCCGGGGGGCGTAGCAAGGTAAGCGGTTAACAGGAAGGTCTGGATTAGCGCTTGCCCACTTCCAGTGTTTCGTGTTCCTGCTAATCTACTCCCACCTCCAGTTACCCTGTCTAACCTTCGGTACCTCCTGCCCTAGCTGGCGACCTCTTTCTGATCCCATTCACTCTCCAGTTCTCGAACTCTCCTAACCTCCCTCACACCTACTAGTCGCTTTTCTTTCCCGGCCCTTGATCCCTTTCTGTCCATTCCCGCCTCCAAGTCTTTCCCCGCGAACTGAAGTCAAATGTGAATGACAGGGCCATGCACTGTGCTTGCAGAATTATAGCTACTGAGTATTAGCTTCCTTCCCTCAAACTATCCTCCTCTACAGTCTTTTGTTCCTCACTTTCCGAAAGGAGTTCTGAGTGATGCGGATTCCTTAGCAGGAGGGAAAGGTTGGGCAGTGGCGACAGTGCCCAGTTGCATTTGACACTTTGGCAAGGGTGGGAATTCCTCAAGCTAGGGGAGATCCGAGGAGGGAGAACGAATGTCTGCAATCTCCCGTTCGGATTACGGAGACGTCTCCAAATCATACTGCCTTTGTTCCTCTGGTACTTAAGTGTTTTATCACTGCCTTTTCTGATATCGCTTGATGACTCTGAAGCTCATGTACACTTTACCTTTTTTGTTGAACATAGTTACAGTTAGCAACAAGTGGAATACAAATGTATTTTAAATTTGCAAAATTTAATAAAATTGTCTCCTTCGTTCATTGCATCATGAATTGCTTGGTCCTGTTATTTATTGGTTCCTCATTCTGTAACCACATCATGTTTACCACCTGCTTGAACCACTCTTTTCATTTCTGAACTTTTGGGTCTTAGCATCATTTGGAACTTTCACTAACTTTATTTTTTGTTTTCCTCCACTTAGACCTGGATTTTAACTCTTGATCATAATTAGAGGTTCAGAGATCTGTAGCTTTCATTAGCTTTTTGGAAGTCTGTACCTCACCTATCAGAATAATACAGATGAGAAATAAATCTCAGTGTCATATTCAGTGCTTACTGATGGCTGTGTATGTTCTAAGAGTGGTTTTTTTTTTTATTGCTTTAGATGTATTCACTGATTCAGTCTTTACAGTGATCCTGTGAAGTGAGTGCATTTGTTATCTCTGTTTCACAGAAAAGGAAACTGGGAAGGAATGTTGCCCCAGATCTTACAGGCTTGATGTGATGTGACTCTGGCTGTGACATTTTATTTATTATTCTCTATATTGTCCAGCCATCTAATCATTTGTCCCCTTCTTGATATTCGACCAGTTTGTTCAGCTAAATATTTGTCTGAATAGTATTTCCTTTCCAGAGAACAAAGCTATGAATTAGAATATGCTTCTACCCTTCTCCATTAAAACGACCAATCATGTTCTCAGAACCCATTTAAGGGAAAACAGTTTTGAGGCAAAGACAAAAGATTCAGGTGGTGATGAAAAAGGTGAGTCTTCGGGTCCAAAAAGGGAACAAAATAAAATTATCGTGCAATTCGAAGGGAAGCTAAGACTTTTTTTACCCCTTTGTGAAATAAGCTTATCTTGATCATTTTAGAAGCTGAGTCAGGTTTGTATGAAATGGGTAGATTGAGAAATAGAATAGATGGGGAGGTTGTATATCATAATTGTTAAAAAGCACAGATTTTTGAATGAGAAAGACCCAGGTTCTTTTCCTAACTCATCACTTAACCTTTTTGACTGTCGGTTTCCTCGGGTGTAAATGGGAATAACAGTACCCATTTCATAGGATTGTTTATAGGATTAAATGAGATCATGTTTCTCTCTTAGCACAGTCTTTGTATATAGGAAGCACTCACTAACTGTAACTAAATACCTGTCATCTTTTACTTAAATATCATGTTTGTTGTGTAAATCCCATGGTACAGTGCTTGGCTAAAGTATGCACTCAATATATCATAGCCATTGTTATTTCTACTAGTCAATAAATATTTTTTGAGAACCCACCTTATTCTAGAGATGTGGTCTCTGGTTTCAAGGAGTTGAGTCTAATAGGCTGCACAGACTAGTAAACAGGCAGTGATAAATGCCATTATACTATAAGAGTGTGTTATGCCCATGAGGGAGTTGGGGCAGAGAAGGCTTCTGGAGGAAATGATGTCTGGAGGGTTGGGGTGGGGAGTGGGCTAGATGCAGGCATGGAGCAAGTGTTCCATAGCAATCAGGAGCCTGTTCCCATTTAGCTAAGGCATATAAAATTGGAAGGAGCAAGTTAAAACATGGTGAGGTAAACTATGACTAGTTCTGAAGGCCTAGTAGACCACCGTAGGGAATATAGAGATGTTATTATAAGGTAATGTGAAGAGCAACCGAAGGAGGGAGGGCCCATGATTAGCTTTGCATTTTCAAAAGATTATTTTTAACTACTGCGTGGATTGTGGAATCCACATAGACAAGCGAGACAAGTGATTTTGGTTTGGGATGGGAAAGATCACATTCTCACATTTAGTGTATTGGAACTTTATTGGGACCAAGAGACCTAGAAAGTTTTAGTGATGGTGAGAATGAGATGATGTAGATTGATAGGAAGGAATGTAAAATAGGAAAGGCACCATAGACTTGGTTATTTAGGGGGTAAACAAATGCTTGAAATAGGTATGATTCAGGAAAGCGGGGTATATAAAGGTTCTAAGTTGGTTCAGGCTGGTATAACAGAACACCACAAGTCAGATGGCTGATAAACAACAGAAATTTATTTCTCACAGTTCTGCAGGCTGGAAGTTCAAGATCAGTGCAATAACAGTGACTACTTCTGTGTCTTGTAAAGGCCTTGTTCATTGCCGACTTTTTCTGGGTCCTCACAGGGCAGGAAGGGGTGAGGGATCTCTCTCAGGACACTTTTATCTAGATATTGAAACCATTCATGAAGACTCCGCTCTTATGACTGACTCACCTACCAAAGGTCCCACTTCCTAATTAATGTCACATTAGGGTTTAGGATTTAAATCTGTGGCAATAAACTTCCTTGAGTGTGCCCTCATTCACATTAAACATTCCTCTGGCCCTGTGTTACAAACTAGTTAGTTATACAGATTTAGACAGTACTCCTGTCTTATAGGGATGTTGTGAAAATTTCTACCATATTGTTTTAACTGGTTAAAGCATTGTAAGTACCTAAAAGTCCTGAAAAGGTATTTTGGGGAAAAAAGCCATAAGAAACCAAACATTTTGTTATTAAATCCTCTAGACAAGGATAGGCAAACTTTTCTGCAGAGGGCCAGATAATAAATATGTTAGACTTCGAGGGTCACATAGGTATTTAGTCTTTTTACCACCACCACTACTACATGTGAAAACCATTCTTAGCTGAAGGGCTATAAAAAACAGGTGTGGGCCAATTTGCCCCCTTCCCTGGAGGGTTACGGTTTTATTATTTTCTGTTATTTGATAACCTTCGTTTCTCAGTGGATTCTTAGAAAATTAATTGCTGCCTCATGATTTCCAGTATCCTGTGTATATTAACAATCCAGAAAGTCAACTTTAGCCAGTTATTTATGATGATTTGTCTATCAAATCTCTCTTGATATTTAAGGCAAAGAAATGTTGGCCCAAATTGGTAAGTGACTATCATGTGTTAGTGATAGCGCCAGGACCATATAGGTCCTAATTCCAATAGTTGCTTTCTGATTCCAAGTTTAGTACTATTCTTGTTACTGTTATGGCCAACATTTCTGTTCTGTTGTAAAAACTGGTTTTGTACAGCCTCCTAAAGCTATAAAGAGTATTTGTGAAATTGTTAGATTTGCTTTTTGTTTTTTAGTTCTTTTGAATGGGAATAAGAGTAATGAAGTAGCCCTGACCAGTGTGGCTCAGTTGGTTGAAGCCACACTGGCTTCACTCTGTCGACAGAGTGAAGCCACACTCTTTCTACAAAGAGAAAGGTCACTGGTTCAATTCCCGGTCAGGTCACACGACTGGGTTCTTGGCCTGTCCGCAATCAGGTCATGTGCAAGAGCCAACTGATCGATCTCACTCACAGGTCAATATTTCTCTCCCTCTCCTTCCTCCTCCCTTCCCCCTCCAAAAATAAATAAATAAATATATTTTTTTATTGTAATGAAGTAGTCTGAAGACAAGCAGTAGGAGGGAAAGGAAAATCTGCTAACTTGAAGAAGCCACATTTAATTCTTCCCTTTTCCTTTTTTAGGTTCCTCTAAAACAGGGCAGAAGTCTTATGGATTGGATTCGACTAACCAAAAGTGGGAAGGACCTAACAGGATTAAAAGGCAGGTTAATTGAAGTAACTGAAGAAGAACTTAAAAAACACAATACAAAAAATGATTGCTGGATATGCATAAGAGGTAGGTGGTATTTATGAAGTTCTGCAAAGAGTTTTGGCTGTGTCTTCTTATTGTAATGCTTCCTGTTATTTGGTGGTATGATTCACAATTAGATAATAGAATGTGCCTTATGCTAGGCAATAAGTTGTATAATTCCAATTTTGGACAGTATTTTTTCCCTTCATAACTTTTTACAATATTTCTTCCATAACTGTTTTCTTCCCTTTGAAAGAAAACAAGTATTTTCCAACCAATTTATATTGAAGTAGTAAAATTATTCTGTAACACCTAGTTTATATAGAATAATGTTGCACTTTAGTGCCAAAATTCTATCAACAGAGTTTTTTCGGAAAAATGTCTCTCAGAATCTAAAGTAAATCAGAAAGCCCACGTTAAAGCTAAATCTGCAGTTCTTGCTTATAGCCATCTTTACTATTTATTGTATGTTTCTTAGCTATATTAATTACCTGATTTTTCTATCCCATGGAAAATTAAAAGCTCCAAAGCATAAATGGGCTGATTGGAGAAAGTGAGCAGAGAAATAAGAGGTTAGCTAAGAAAAGCAGACCTAACAGTACCAACAACTCAGCATCTACGTGGGAGCAAACCATTCAAAGGGTGCAGAACTGTACAGTGGGCCTCCATTGTGATTTCCTTGAGTCCTTCAGACATGGTTTAATATGTCCACTGCTGTCTGTTGGAAGTGTGCCATTTATTACTGTTACCGCAGTTGTAACTTTTCATCGCATAACTTAGCCTTGTCGTCAGTTGTCCTAATTGCAGTAACATATATGAAGGCAGAGACCATGTAGTTTACTGTTCTGTCCTTGGAGCCTGGCACATACAAGTCATCCATGTTTGTTTGCTGGGTGAGTGCAACACAGATCATATTTAAGAACTTTGGTTTCTTAAAGAGGTGTGTGATTGTCACAGTTGATTGGTGATATGATATGATAATGGAAAACACCAGTAAATCCCAATTCGTTTGCTAGGAGTGCCCAAACAAAGTACCATAGACTGGGTGGCTTAAACAACGGCAATTTATAGTCTCACCACTCTGGAGGCTGAAAGTCTGAGCTCGGGGTGCTGGCAGGGTTGGTTCCTTTTGAGGCCTGTGGAGAATCTGTTCATGCCTGTTGCCTGGCTTCTGGTGGTCTGCTGCCAATCTGTGGAGTTTCTTGGCTTGTAGAAGCACTGGCCCCGATTTCTGCCTTCATCTTCGCATGGCATTCTCCTTGTGTAGTTGTGTCCAGATTTTCTGTTTTTATAAGAAGATTTATTTCAGTCTTATTTCATTACCCTATTCCAGTTTGACCTCATCTAGTTACATCTGCACTGACCTTATATCCAAATAAAGTCATGTTGAGTAGTACTGGTGGTTAGGACTTCAACGTGTGAACTTCAGGGTGCACAATTCAACCCATAACAGAAATAATCGGAGTGTGAAATTTTTTCAGTGGCAAAAAGGATGGAATCTTTCAGTTAATGGTGACGTAACTTGTTCCTAGACAGAAGAACAGTGGCTTACCTCCCCTAGGTTTCTCAGGGAGGTGCAACCATGAATAGGACCAACGGCTTGGAATGAGGATTCTGCCATGCAAACATTCCTTTTGTCATTTGATAGGGTTTTAGTACCCTCTCGGCCCTTCCTCCCTGCTGCCTACCTGTTTACCGGATATAAGTAACTGGTACAAAATGACCTTCCCACTCTGCTTGTGCATTTTCTGCTTGACTGGGTGCAGTGGGGGGTCAGTTTCCCACGAGCATCTCTCAGCTGGCCCAGGCTACAGGTGTGTCTGATCTGTTTCTTCAGTAGGAGCCTCTTCAGAAAACTCACTCATGTGAGTCCCTCATATCCTAGTGATGTGAGATAAATGAAGCACTATTATAATATAGTGATACTTTATTTTTTACTTAATGTATTGATGGAGGTAAGGGACTGGTTTGCTGTGTTTGAAATACACAGTGATCCCAGGTACATATCTCCTGTACTGATGTGAAAGCATTGCACCTCTTCTGGTAGAGTGTTGATTTAAGGATACATTCTTTACAGGTTTCTGTTGGAGAGTTTTTTCTATTCTCTTAATAATAAGACCTTTTCCTTCTTTGTCAAAGTAAGAGATGTCTTTTTCTCTTTTTGTTTTTTCACCTTTTGATGAGTTTGGTTTTGTATTTTATCCAGAAACACATTCAGTGCAGGCCCCGCCCCTGGAGATTCAACTCTCGTAGAAAATAAGTGACTGTTAGACAAGTCTGAGTGAAGTGCCATAGAGGGTTATATAGAAAGTGATAGCAGATTGAAAAGAGGGAGATACGTGGGTTAGGAAAATCAGAGGCGCTTTGTGGTAGAGATAAGCTGTGAAGTGGACAGGATTTCAACAGGAAATGAGGAGTAGGTACATCCAGCAGAGGAAAGGTCTAAACAAGCATAGAGACCCAGAAAAGTTTGAGGTATGTGCTGGAACTTGAGTTAACTGTTGGAGCAAGATTTGTTAGGTCAGATTGTAGAGGGCCTTGAAAGCCAGGCTGAGAAGTGTGTTCTTAATTTAGACAACAGTGTGAGTTATGGGAAGTATTTGAATGTGGGGGCAGTGATTAGAGTGTGCTTTGGAAAGATCAGTCTGATGGCGGGTGTAGTGAATGGAGACAGGTCTAGGAAGGCATTTAGCTTGTTACAGAAGTTCAAGTGGCAGTAGGTCAACCAGGATGTTGACAAAGGCACTGGAAAGTTAGGATGAATGTGAGTCAAACAGATTACTGTTAATTTCTAACGTGATCCTAAATGAAAGTAAAAGAAAGCACATAATATGCCCTGGCTGGTGTGGCTCAGTGGGCCTGTGAATCAAGGTATCGTGGTTCGATTCCCAGTCAGGGCACATGCCTGGGTTGCAGGCTGCTTCCCTGCAGGCCAGTTTCCAGCAGGGGACCCACGAAAGGCAACCATACATTGATGTTTCTCTCCCTCTCTCCTTCCCCTCTAAAGATAATAAATAAATAAAATCTTAAAAAAAAAAAAAGAAAGCACATAATAAGTAAATGTAATTGACTTTTTCTTCTTAGCTATTCTAATTTAAAATATTAACAATACCTTCGTAAAGGGGGAATGAGTGCCAGAATTGGCTCTGCAGGTCAGAGATAATGTTTGGACCCACATTTGAGTCAAAGCTGTAGCACAGAGAAGCATAGTATCATGCTATCATTTTTTTTAAGTATTAAATTCTTCATTTACTTTAATAATTTAACATTTAACAATCACCTCTTTTTTACATCAGCTGATTGGGTGGCTGTGGGAGACACATTCGTCTCTCCAAGAAATCTTAGAAAACATACACTTTGTTTTGGGTTTTTATCTGTAATGTTTTGGGGACTGTTTTCTTTGGCGGGGGGATGGACATAGGAGTGTTTCTTCTTGATGTTCAGATGTACTAAGGTCATGTTCCTGAAATGACAGTGTAAAAAGAGTGCTGGGCTGGCAGCAGACTGAAATGTATGAGCTGTGAAAGGTGGGCATTCTGTAAGGCAGGTAATATGGACTTCCTAATTTGCTCACTTAATTCTCTCCATTTTCTCTAAAGCATATGATAATCCCTCTAGTGCAATGACAGTTCATTGGAACATTAAGGGAATAGATGGGGGAAATAATGCTTTTTCAAAAACTTTGTTGAATTTACCATTAATTCATGCTTCTGTGGTTTTCTGCCTGCTACTGTTTCTCCCTCTCTTAAGAACTAATGTTGATTTACAAACATGTAAAGCTTTGAGCAAACATCTAAATTGCTCATCTGTGAGAGTTCAGACTTTGTTTTTCTGTACTGTGTTTTGCTATAGTATGTAGTGAGTGTGGGTAATGATGTGTTGAGTTTGAAATCATCATTTGGCAGCGTGGTGCAGCCTTTGATCTTCATGAGGGTGAGGCCAAGTGTGGCCTGATCAGCAGTCCGTTTGAATAAATGGTATTGAGTAATAGTTAATTACAGTCAGTAGACTGATGGCCTTGTTTTAAAAAAATGTATTGGGTCAAATTTTCCAAATGGGATTTAATTTATAACTTAGAAATGAACTAGCTTTGATTTCTTCTAAATATTGGCATATACTAGTAAATTAAAGAGGTCACCCCTGAAAAAGTGACTTTTAATGGGTTGGTATTTTTCTAGTTTCGTATTTTAAAATTATAGAAAATTATTCTAAGAAGTAGTGGATGGCCCTATTATTTTTATCACAGCTTCCTAGATTTCTCGGTTCACTGATGGGAAACGTTTTTAAGATTGACTCATTGTAAGTTGTGTATACCGTTAATCCTCATTACTCGGGGGTTCCAATCTTGCCTACTCACTAAAACCTGTTTGTAGCCCCAAGTCCATAACTCACAGTGCTTTCAGTCGTTTGCAGTCATGCACAGTGCAACGGAAATACATGTTGTCTGTGTCTGAGGGGAAACAAGGCGATGCTCCGACTTCTTGTTTCTGTGTTCATACTATACTGTAAGCACAAGTCTCTTTTGCAGTCTGTTCGCTGCCATGGGTTTCACATTTTGTGCTTTTTATTGGTGACTTGGCTGTTTAAAACAGCCCTGAGGATAATACTGAAGTGCTGTCGTAAGAAGGCTGTAATATGCCTTATGGAGAAAACACCTGTTAGGTGAGCCTTGTTCAGGCATAAAATGCCGTGCTGTTGTCTGTGAGTTCAGTGTTCGTGAAACAGCATTACATATCAAATAAGGTTTCTTTAAACGGAAACAAACATTAGACAAGGTTATGTATTAATTTTTTCACAGAAAAAAAGGTTGTGAGCTGATGCTTTCGGTAACCTAACCTTGTATTTTCTGCTAAGAACAACGGTTCAGTATTTGCTAATTCAGTATTCATAATGAGTCTGTAGAACTTAACTGCTGTGCATAAAGAGAATTGACTATTTCTTTAAGCTTTTGTATTTATACTGCAGTAATAATAAAGTAAAGTAAGTTTATACCTTTCAGGTTAGATCCAAACCCACCAAGAATAGAGCTGCTTTTTCAAACAAGT